GATTAAAGTTAGATTTATAAATTTTTGAATAATTTTCTTAATAATTAACGATCCTCCACTAATCTCCCGATTAATCATCGTCTAGTCGATTATCCCTAATCACTAGTCCACTGATTAGCATCCGATTATCGATTTCTGCAACCATGGTTAAAATGATTTAAAGAAAATTGTAGATGGATCAATGGAATTTTGTAAATTTAACCACAGGTGGGTATGAAAAAGGATTTAAAGGTTGAAATCGATTCAAGTATGACGGATATGGGTTCCTAGTGTTGCACCAATAACACCTATTTTTCCTTAACATAGTAGAAAATTTTCGACTTTTCGATTTTTTTATCTATTTTTCATGCACCGGCAATACCTAATATGAATTTATGCATTCGCCCCTAGGTATAAACCAAAAAAAGCCTAAATTGCCCATCAAATGAAGTAGCGCTCCAATTACTAGAATGGTTACATTTTGATAGAGGACGTCTTAAATACATTATAAGAGTTTTAAAAGGTTCGTGAAAGTTTCTTGCCGGTATTATTACACTTCTAATAATATTAGGGATGAGGAATAAGTAAAAGGTATCCTCTCATTTGTAATTGTTAATGTTGAGAGGGGCACACTAAAAACAATATACCATTTAGTAGCACATTAAAAGTGTCACCAAAATCCCCAAAAAAGGCAACTAAAGGCTTCTTACAAATTTGGCATTACATAATAATCAGCAGCACATATGATGAGTGTCACTAGAAATGTTCAACTAAAACGCTATAATGACACTTTTTGCTTTTGTTGTTGTAGTTTTTTTAAAGTTTTAGTGGCGTTTTTCATTTTATTATAGTAGAAGAAAATTTTTTGTAGCATATATTTTTTGACCATTTGATTCATGAATTTATACTACTTTTAGTTACACATTCACAATTTAGTTTCACATTTTTATTTGTCACAATACAAAAATATTTTGTGGTACATTTGTGCCGGTAATACTCATGAAATTCTATAATTTAGGCTACTTATATCTATATAATTTTGTCTTTAATATAAATAAAATAAATAATTAATTGTAGCACGTAGAATATAATAAAAATTCAATTGTTTTTCATCAATATTTTTAAACTTTTTGAATCAAATATCTAAATAAATATCAAATATATAATGTGGAACCAAGTACATACTCAACATAGAGTTAAAAAAAACTTGAAACATAATTGTGGATAAACTTATTCCCTAAACATCATGCTAGGTTAAATAAACGGTGTTATCTCATACTCTAGAATCAATACTAGCAATCTTCTGTCTAAAAATTAACAAAGACAATGTAAGTACTTTTTAAATAAGGCATACTTTAGAAAACAAATAATATAACAATAATCACAAATCAACTATATCTATAAACACAAATGAAAGACGAAAGCCTAAAATTGATTACCAACGTTATGATGACTTTCAGAATGTGATATATTGTTGACTGAATTAGAGTTGCACTAGTGTTCTACAAGCAGTAGTCATCTTTGAATACATGAACGAGGACTGAGACTGATATCAATGTGCAAATATTAATATTTTTCCCACCTAAAGGGTTGATAGACTCGGTAGCAATCTCTCCTCTATGCATAAGACATGAATGTCCTCATCCGCATCACTAAAGGTAACAATATCTCATGTAACATACGTCAGATGTATGTCTTCATTTTGATATTATCATATGACAATTTCAATATTTTGTGTGATGTGAAAAGAGTGAGCACGAGTCTTAAATTTTTAGATAAAAAATAGGTACTTTCGACATACTTTAAAGTCTCTTGATTGTACTTTGTTATGTATGTATTGTGCATTCGAGTTAGACATTTTGAAGAAGTGAGAACAATGGCACATAAACTCACTCGCAATCTCTTATATGTGCATAATACATGAATGATGAATGTCCTCCTTTTCCTCATCATATTTCTCCGTTTACATTTCTAAAAATAGTTAGGTCTTTGTTTATGTTTCCATTTTTTTACCTTTAAGTAATAAAGATAGAAAAAATTTGCAATTTAATTGCTATAGTTGAAGAAGTAGAAAGCTTTAATTTGGGAATTACACATTCTAAAGAAGGGAGAACAATGGCAAAATTGTTAGCTTAAGAATGTTGTATGTATTCAAAAAAAGACCCAAACTTCCATTCCCGAAGATTATTCTTATAATATTTCCAATAAGTTTTGGTCTTTTTCTTTCTGGTTGAGATTATTTCAATTGAGAGGGGTTCCTCTTTTTCCATAATCCATAATTCTTAAAGGTGGAAACATTCACCTCGATGGTGAAGGAAACAACTTTCATATTGGTGTTAAATATAAGAAATAACAATATACTTTCATATTTTTGTTTTATCATATCCTTGTACTTTTACTTTTTCAACAAGCATAAATTCTTGTTGTTTTAGGTCCATGTTTTATTTTCACGTTTTCAATGTTGATTAGTTAAACCAAGACTTCCTTGTAGAAGGCTTGTTGCCTCTTTTATACTGAAATAAAAAAAATACTTATGAGATTGTGTCACCTCAACATTATATTTTGGATAATAATACATCTAAACTTTGAAATACATAATGATAATCGAGATGAGAAATTATTTCATATTAGCAAAACATGATTTTTAACATTTTTATTATGAAAACATGAATTTAAAAATGATGAAGGACATGAAAAAAATAATAATTATTAAAACCGCCTTTAAATCTATATTACCATAACGTCATCCAATGTAAATTTATTATCGTTATTTCATTGCTAATAAATTTTGTTTTTATAGTATATATGTTTGATTTTTATAATATAAAATCGATTTTCGCGTTTTCGCAAAATATTTATGTTTTCGCATGAACCTATATATATATATATATATATATATATATATATATATATATATATATATATATATATATATATATATATATATATATATATATATATATATATATATATATAGGAGTAGGATCAAATGAGAATACCAAAAAGGTTGAGAACGCGAGAACAAAGTATATTCTTTTGTGATTCCATGTATTCATTTGTGGAGAAATGATAAATTTTTTCGCTTTTAATTTCAATTGAAGAGAAAAAACATATTCATGTTGATTGTATGTAAAAAAATCATCATTTCTCCACAAATGAATACATGGAATCACAAATAAATATACTTGTTCTCGCGTTCTCAACCTTTTTGGTGTTCTCATATGATCTTTTCCCTATACATATATATATATATATATATATATATATATATATATATATATATATATATATATATAAACAAATGTTTAAAATAATTAAAAATAAAATTGCCAATCGTTCAACACATAGAACCGAGAAAAATATTTAAAGCACAATAATATGTTGATCACTGATGACATACTCGAGTGATTCTTTGCATTATCTTTTTCTTTCCTGTGAGACCATTTGGAAAACCCTCAACAGAGGGCTAGTTATACATGCTTGTATACATGTTGGCACGAACCACAACGATGAACACACCCCGGGTGTCTGTTGTTGGCCATGCTCTTGGTGGGTTGTGGTGGCTACCACGATGAACAGCAGCCAATAGGAGGGTAATGGGTCTTTTGGGTAGTGGAGAGTACTCCCAATAGTTGTGGTTGTTTGTGGTGGCTCTAGGTGGCTCACTTGGAAGCTCTCCACAATCCTTGGTGTGAAGAGTATTCCTAATAACCTAATGATAACCTAAGGATGACTCAGGGGGTGGGTATTTTGTGTAGTGGTCCAAAATTAATTAGTTAATTAAAACCAAGTTTTTATATAATTAAAACTAATGATAATAAGGCCCTTTATGTTCACCCTAACAACTAGAGTCTTGCCTAATTCTTTTCATGTTTATTAAGTTCTATTGCCTTGCATGATATGGTTTAAAAATAATTAATTAAACTCACATGTTGCGAGCATTGGGTGTGGACAATGGGATATAACACCAAATTGGTGTCACCTCATCCATAACACCAAGGGAGAAATGGTGTTCCAGATGTTATATCATGTTAAGAGAGAGAGAGAGAGAGGGAAAAAAATAGAGAAAATTATTTGATTGGTTGATGAAGGAGATAACCAATCATTTTTTTTTGTTTTATCTCGTTCTCGTTACCACAAGATCCACCCTAACGAGATTCAACAAGTTAGAGGGGGCGGTGTTCCCCGTCATGACGCCGTTGAAACATGCCACATCAACATGTTGCTACTCATTTTTAGCCCATAACGCATGCTCTATGTGAAAGTATAGTCAAAAGCTTTTTATGGAAGTCATCTATCACTTTTTCAATACACCCATTTTCCACAAAAGGCCCCATATTTATGCTACTCTGCCCACTCTTTATCCCTACAACCAGTTGATTTTTACCATAAAAAAAATAAAACCTTTTGACTGACTACACAAAGACATCCCCGCCCAACCCACCCACCGACCCACCAAAAAAAACTACTACATATAAGGTAGCATCTCTAATAGAGCAAAACCCACAAAAGAAAATTTCAGAATTACCGTTTTCAGGAATGTCTTGAAGTGGGCTTTTTTGGGTTTAGTTTGTTGATTTTATCTTTGCCTGTTATAGATAGTGTTCAAAGCTAGCATTCTGTACGTGCTGAACGTGGTATTTTGTAATTTTTTTTTTTTTGAGTAAATAATGAGGAAAGCAGGATTTTAGTTTGCCAGAAATGGTTCGGACCCTCCCTGTTATAGCCTTTTCGTTTATTTTGGGGTTCTATAATTTGTAACGGTTTATGGGAATGCTGAAGGTTTGTGCTTCTTCATGACTCTTGATTCTTAATTTAATTCTAACTTAGCTTTTAAATTAAATGATTGTTGCTTGTATAAATATAGTAACTTATTGCAATTGCTTTCCTTGAATTATTTTCCCAATTATAGATAGTACACATGAAGAACAAAAATTGAGATCAGATTTATGATGCTTAATTTACAGTAAATCTTCATTAATTTGATATTTCAAAATTAGACTTGTTAATCAGTTTCATATATGCAAAACAGTTGATGCATTGAGTGCCCTAAAGGCACGATTACACGATCCTAAGGATGTTATGCAAAGTTGGGATTCAACTCTTGTCACTCCATGTACTTGGCATCATGTTACTTGCGACAATGAGAATAAAGTTGTTAGCGTGTATGTTTACCAACCTGTTCATGCAATCCTCAAAATTCCATTGACTTTTTACATTCAGTGAAGAAATTAATTCGTGTTTTTTGATTTCTGGAAAGCATGCAGTGATCTTGGAAATGCAGGCTTGTCTGGTAAACTGGTTCCGCAGCTTGGTCAACTTACAAACTTACAGTACTTGTAAGTCTTCACATGCATGCATTTGTGTTATGATCATACTAAGATACAAATCAAATATATAATATGTATATATATGATTATAAACTTACTAATATTTATATATGGTGATATTTCTGAAACGGGATGCTCTTGGATAGGGAGCTTCACAGTAATAACATTACCGGAAGAATTCCTAAGGAGCTTGGGAACTTAACGGAGTTGGTGAGCTTAGACCTTTACAGGAACCGGTTAGAAGGTGACATTCCAGAAAGACTGGGCAACCTTCAGAAACTTCGTTTCCTGTACGACTTCACAATTAATATTCAGATTCTTCTCTTGATATATAAAAACTAGAGTAGCTTTGTTGATTTTACTTCATTAATTTTCATACACAAGTTAGCAAATTGTCTCAAGACTCATGTACGTAATTAATATGCATTGTTGTTTTCTCTTCTCTTTGTGCAAGGATAGTCGTCTCAATAACAACAGATTAACGGGAGTCATTCCATATTCCTTAACTACGATATATTCGCTAGAAATAGTGTCAGTAAAAAAGTCTCTCTTATATTCAATTCTTTCTTGGATAATTAATGTTGAAACAAATTTAAAATTGGTCAGTTTAATTCTTTCCATCGCAGTGATCTATCAAACAACTTATTAGAAGGTGATATCTATTACAGTACTGGCTCATTTCCGAGGTTAACGCCCCTAAGGTTTGATTTTAATTACGTACATGAGTCTTGAAATCACGTCCTATATATGGCTTTAATTAATGATGTTATCAGCAAACTTCTCGTCTTTCAGCTTTGCCAATAATACCGACTTGACATCTGTGATTCTTCCAATAAGTCCATCATTTCCTTCAGGTAATTTGGATTGTCATGGTTACTTTATGCCATTAGTTACATTATGTCATGATCGAGCGTGGGAAAGCTTGGATCTTGATATCACAGTAAATTTTGAAGTCCATATATTTACCCCTTCTGATCATTGTGCATATGCAACTGTAATTCAGTCGGAAACAACGGGAAAGACAAGGGAGCTATTGCTGGAGGAGCTGCTGTTGGTGCTGCTCTTGTTCTTGCAGGTTGGGTAATTGTACCTGCTTGGCGGTGGTGCAGAGAACGACAAGATCATTTCACTGATGTAGCAGGTATATATGTTAATTAATTAATTACTATATTAATTTAACAAAATCATCGATTTCCTGAATTTGTTTTTCCGCTCATTTGATTCTTGTATGCATGTTTGCAACTGAAGAGGACCCTAAAGTTCATCTGGGACTACTGAAGAGGTTTTCTCTGCGTGAACTACAAGTTGCAACCGATGATTTCAGTAACAGAAACATTCTTGGTCGAGGTGCATTTGGAAAAGTTTACAAAGGGCGGTTAGCTAATGGTGCTCTGGTGGCTGTAAAAAGACTGATAGATCGTGTTCAAGGTGGTGAATTGCAGTTTCAAATGGAGGTTGAGTTGATAAGCATGGCTGTACATCGGAATCTACTTCGGCTGCAAGGGTTTTGCATGACACCAACTGAACGCTTACTCGTTTATCCCTACATGGCCAATGGCAGCGTAGCATCATGTCTAAAAGGTATGTGGTACGTGTTTGAATAATTGAATATGTAATGGTGTCTTGGGTTTAATTGATTTGGGTAAAAATAAGTATGTGACCTCTCACGAAGAAACGAGAATAATCATACATACACACATATAATATTTACGTGGTTCGGTCAATGCGACATACATCAACCGGACAGAAAGGAGTATTTTTATTCACAAACTTGAACATAGTATGATGGTACATTACAATTTGGTCAATGTAACATAAAACCGAACTAGGTCTCCATTCAATTAGTTAATCAACAACCAAACTACTTGACTGTCGGCCAACTATTGGCCAACCAACTAGCTACTTATGAGCTAATTATTGTCTTCAGTTCTTAAGTCATATTTAACAATTTTTTAAGTCATATTTAACAATCTTCATCTTAACTTAGTAATACTCCAAGCTACAAAAACCAAGAACTTTCTCTATGTCTTGCCAATTTTCCCGGTAAGGACCTAACTCCTATGAACATCTATTACGTCTAAGCAAAATCCCAAATCCATCTTTGCAACTCCTATTAACTCCCACGAACATCTATTATGTCTAAGCCTCTCCGTCAGCCAGGTATTTATCACTTTACACTAAAGTTGACGCGGATTACTCATAAACCTTCTTTGGAATACCCAAATCTTTCATCTCAAACTCACTTTCCAGCAGTGCCTTCAAGTCTTTAATTTCAGCCATATTTTTGGTTGAATTAAGCATAACGTCCATGTATAGCACCAGATATATGTATGTAAGAACCATCACACAACTTCTTTGAGTAAAAACAATTATCAAATTGATTTTGAATATAGCTTTACGAAGTCATCAAAGATTCCAATCTCTTGTACCATTCTCATGGAGAGTGCTTCAAACCATAAATGAATTTCTTTAGCAAATATACATTATCTTTCTTTGAATGAAGGAACCCTTTTGGTTGGAACATTTAAATCTTCTCATCGAGACAACCATAAAGAAATGTTGTTTTGATATAAGTTCTTCAAACTCCAAATCAAGTGCACTAACCATAGCTAATAGAACATGAACTATTTTGTGCTTTAGCACAAGTGAGAAAACCTCATGATAGTCAACTCTTTCTTTATGTGATAACCACTTTACCACCAACCATGCCTTGAACCTTGTTGGTTTAACTACATAATTTCCTTCTTTTTTTAAAGACTCATTTTCATCGCACAGATTTTCTCCTTTCGTAACCAACAAGATCTATGTTTCATTCTTCTCCAATGATTCCATTTCCTCGTTCATCATCATTAACCAGTTTGTTGTTTCTTTACTTGCAACAAACTCTTTGTAAGACAGGTGTTTGTTAGTATTAATGTCCTCATCAATCATTAGTTCATATGCTACAAAACTAATGTCACAAGAATTGACACATCCAACATATCTAGCATGTTTTTAAATGTTCATTTCCCACCTTATTTTTGCTATAGTTTCTTCCTTATTATACTCTCTCCCGGCACCAACATCTCTAGATTCTTGGTTAATGGGTTGATCATGAGATTCATCCCATCTAGGATGTTTCATGTAGGTTTGTTGTTCTTTATTTATCATAACTCTATCTAGGTTTTGCGTTACAAACTCCACCTCTAGCTAGCACCATGATCATGTTTCCTTGCAAGAGTTTTACTTTCTCTTCTCTAGTTACACATAGCAGATTTATCAAACGTCACATCTCTACTAATAACAAATTTTGGAGTCTTTTCCTTTTGGTAAACACCATATTTGATAACCATTCAATCCAATTGAGTATCCTAAATATATGCATTTCATAGCCCTCAACTCCAGTTTACCATCATTAACATGAGCATAAGCATGGCTTCCATATGTACATAAATCATAATAGTTAGAGGTTTTTTTTGGACCATACCTCTTGAGGAGTCTTTAAATTAATTACAGTTAATAGAGATCTATTCACTAGATAACAAGAAGTGTTCACTTCTTATGCTATAATTACTTTGATAAATCATCAAATAAATGCATACATCTTTCACGATGCATCAATGTTTAGTTCATTTGTTATGTGACTTCGTTTTGTTCTGGTGTGTTTTGTATAGTACAATGCCTCACTATACCTCCTGTTTTATAGAAATTGTCAAACAGTGTATTGCAAAACTCAACCCCATTAAACGCTCTAAGTGTCTTGACTTGTTTGCTTGTCCGTTTTTCAACCATAGTATTTAACTTCTTGAACTTTCCAAACACTTCATATTTTTCTCTTTAGAAATGTAACCAGACATTCCTTGAATAGTAACCAATAAAATTCATAAAGTACAACCATCCATCATGAGATTTCGCTAGAGGACACCATAAATATAAGTGAGAACATATTCAAGGGTTTCCTTTGTTGTGTCCTGACAAAATTGAACTTCACCCTATGTTGCTTTCAAAGTGACACAAGGTTCATAGAAGTTGACTTTTCTAGTTATTTCTCCACCAAAAGACCAACGTTTACTCAAGATTGACATGCCTTTTTCGTTCATGTTCCCCAATCTAAGTCGTCATAACTTTGTCAATTCATCACGTTTCTCTAAGCGTTGGGATACAACCATCATTTCTTTAACTACATTGCCATTTAGAAAATAAATTCCATATTTCATCTTTTTTCGTAACTATAAGATCACGTTGGTAAAATTTTATCCAAACATTTTGTAACATCCAAAATACGGTCCGAAATTTTCGTTTTAAAATCAATAATAAAACCAAAATAAACATATCATATCATTCATAAACAAAATTCGTTATATCACATCAGAGTATTATCTCAAAACATGTTCTTTTATCAAAGTAAAACATCTCAGGCTAAAGCTTCTTGGTGTGTGCAATACAGTCATCCCGAGCTATTCCCTTTGCTACCGGAAGTAATTGAAACCAAAACTGAAAATCGTAAGCATGATGCTTAGTGAGCTCCCCAATCTACCACATACCATACACATAAACACACATATTGGGCCCCCACCCACTGCATCGGGACTTGCCTGGCATCAGACTTGCTCCGGCATCGGACCATGCCCGACATCAGGCCCTACCTGGCATCGAGCCCCTCTCGGTATACAAATCTACTTCTCTTAGGCCTCGCATGTCTCTGGGCCTCACCCGCTATACACATACAATCACATACACATAAAGTCATGCTATTACATACAGACAATCTCTACGCTATAACTGTTAGTCTCAAGGCCCCGCCTATCTTGGGCCCTGTCCCTAATCAGATGCTAATGAGATATGGAACCCCGTACACACTCAGCTAGTGATGAGATACGGGCCCCCGCCCATACTCACCTCCCTACAAGTATCACACAAACAACAATTATAACTACATACACATATACTACTGCCTCGGGTACCACCCGAGATCAGACAGAAATTCGGAACATATAAATTGCATCAGGCTAACCCCGACATCAGATCTAAATCCGGTATACACTATCACACATAAATAGGACGACATTGGTGCCTTAGACCAGTTCCTACTGGAGAAAACTCACATCGCTACGCTCGTTGTGGAATCTTGTGAATAACCTCTCGCTGCTAGCTGGCAGATCCCTGAGCTGCTGATCTCTCGTCTTCCCGAGCTAACAATACCAAAATATCGCTTAGTTCGAAACATTAATCCTTATTAGGGTAAAATTACCATTTTACCCCTAGTACAACTTGGTCCATATCTAAGGCTCAAAACTCTAATATAAAAAGCCCAACACTAGATGGGCTTCCCAAACCCACTAGTGGCCCACTAATGGCCCAATTTACTAAATTGGGCCCAATACCTCTAATAGGTGTTACCCTAAGCCCAAACATCTTCTTGGCCCACATTAACTGTCTTCTGATGGCCCACTTAGGCCCAAAGGACCAAAATCCCCCTGTATGGCCCAATCCAAGGCCCAAAATACACAAGGCCCCTCTCTGATGAGTACGTTGGGCGTACTCCTATGTACGCTAAGCATACTGGCCAAATGATGCGTATGTTGGGTGTATGCTCAGCATACTCCTCTATTAAGTCCATTTCTTATTAAGTGCTTAATACTTAGATTTAGAAGCTACAATTAGAGATCCAAGTCCTTTTCATCGTCCTAATCCATAAAGTCACTAACTTGATGACTTTACTTGTCCCTAACAACTCCAAACTCCAAAAATGATGTACTATTTCCATGAAGATGGCCTTAACTCATGCATGAATCCATTAAGACCATCGGATTTGGGATATAAAGCTTCCACCTTTGGACCAAAATTACTTTAAAGCTAAACCTCACTAGATCTAAGCACTCTTAGGTAAAGCTATGAACTTTATACCTCCAAGGAATTCCAGATAATGATGCTATCCCAAATCTATGAGCTCCAACTTCCCAAGTTCTTCCTTGCCAACTTCTTCTTTTCCTCTTCCAAGCTTACACTACTAAAATGAGCTTCTCAGGGTCAAGATCACCCAATGATGAAAGGATGAGGCGTTTTAGGGTTTCTCTGAGGTTGGGGAGGCTGATAAGGGACTAGGGTTTGAGACATAATGTTCTTTATATAGTGGCATGCCCTAAAAATTAGGGTTCAGGGTCTTTGAGAGTACGATGGGCGTACCTCTTGTATGCTAGGCATACTCCCCCTACTCCCGCGATCATTTCCACTATGTTGGGCATACCTGGCCGAACACGTGCATGTTTCCTTTACATGCATGGGACTTGCTTGTCAAACATCTCCATTAGGGACCATTTATGCCAATAACTTCAAAGTGCTATAACTTCTTCATTCTAAGTTCGTTTTCGAGGAACTTTATATCCACAAAAAGGTGGCGAGAAACCCTACGCTCCTAGTTACATATCCGAGTCTTAAAACCTTTCAAATAGAACCCGAGACCCATAAACAACCGAATCGCTTATATCCTGGGCCTCTGAGACCGCCACCAAAGTACTTTTCAAAACGGGGTGTTACGATTCTCCCCCACTTAAATTAGACTTCATCCTCGAAGTTCGCTACAGCCAACTACCCCACTTCCTCTAACGGTGCTCCGATACGATGCATACTCTGTCTGCCCGATCCAATCCTCGAAGAACCGCCTCTACTTGTCTTCCATCCGATCCTTCTTGAGCAAAATTCTAACCCTCTAGGGTATCCTCTGGAGAACCATCTAATCACTATAAACCTTTAGTACATCGCTCTTACCCAATCGATACTTCTTCTAGTACTGCCGGAGTACCCACGCTAAACATTCTAGGGGTTCACCCCTTTTTTTCCTGCGCGTTAACTGGCCTTCCCAAGGCAACTTTCCATAAGCAACAACCTTCTCTATCTCTGTGTGGGACAACCCTACGTTGTACCAAATCTACAGTCACTCCCAGTGCTGTCTCTTCACTGCTACACACTAAATGCTTCCACTTATCGCGTCTCAGTGTTGAACACCCAACTCAGTAGATGGATCAGATAATCCTTCGAGTAAAAGATTCATCCTTGCAACAGTTAGACTCAAACAAGAGCTGCACAACAAAGTCAAATCAATCCCCTCTGAGATTATGTGATCTCGTTGTGAGGGACATAGCACCACTCGGTGAACTGGCTACTCCCCTAAAGGATTCTCCCATCCTTGATCCTATCCGGAGGTCCTGCTGTCTCTTATTCGCTTTCCGGATGATCCGAGACCACCCTGGTCCCAACTAATCCACCACCATCTTGGTTACCGGACTCCGACTGATTAGTGAACTTAACTCCATCTCTCAGTCGCTCCCAGCGACTTCCGAAGGAAGCTTCGGCTGTCTAAAACTGCTCTCTCTACCTTGCGACTCTGGCTCTATAAATCCTGGGACCCTCGATCCCCTACATTGACCCTACCATCTCTACCAGGTCTCACCTGCGCTGCTATAAGTACATAAGCCTCCCCCATGGGTCTCACCCAAACTATATTTTGGAGCGGCCTCTCCCACAGGTCTCACCTATCTAGGGCTATGCAGGCCCACTCCTCCGTGAATCTCAACTTGCTATCATTTCGTGATTCCTATCATACTAACTAGGAGATACGTCCCCCCGCCCACACTCCACTAACTAGGAGATACGGACCCTCACCCACACTCCTCTAACTAGGCTGCTAATGAATGTTACGGCTTACCCGCAATCTTACAACACCTCACGTTGTCTAACTATTGATGAATGCTACGACTATCCCGTAGTCTTACATCCTTACTAAACTTGCATTCACACCGAGAAGATCTCTAACTTGGTTCCCAACCAGTTATCAACTGTCGTGAATACACGAACTTAATGTTGGGAAGTCTTCCCAAACTCCAAAATCACGCGCTCCTTATCTTATTCAAGCAGCCACTTGGCAGCTTTCCTTCCCAACAAAGTCGTGAACGCATCCCAGTTGTGTACTCACTTCTGCTCCTGACCACTGGGATGGTTCTCGCCCACTTTGATTCAACTAGATCCCTACAGCTCCCCTCTTGGAAAGGATTCTCAATCCTTCTCTCCATCTAATGGTCGATCTACTAACAACCAATACTTACTATTGCCAGAGCTCCAAAACTAACCAATACCAAATCTGAACTACTTTGAATGACTAACAGAACATCTCTCGAGCCTTACTCACACTTGCTACAATGACCGCATCCTGAGAACCTGCCCTAGGGAAACATCTCTGAACTACTACTCTAACATCCATGGTATGCAGATGGCATATAACTTATCATAAGCAGGAAATATAATATTCTAAAATATACTCACTAACATCGATGCAGTACCATAAAAAATAAATCATAAATAAAAGCTGATAAGAAAATGAAAGATACGAACCTGCCACATCAGGGGCTGCTCGTGTCTCCTCTGAAACCAACTGGTACGCCCTGATCTTCGTCGTAGGCACCTCTGCCCGCCCCTAACGGCCATCGGTGATCCTCAAAGTCGTAGGGGTAGGTGTTATCACTTGCCATGTTGAAAGAAAACTCGGACACTGGGCCTTCTTGTAGCCCCGCTGACTACAATGGAAGCATATCAAGTTTGATTCCTGGGTAGTGGTAGCGGTACAATCTCTGCTAAAATGACCAACGCGACCGCACTTGAACCAGCCCGAATCACCACCATTGTCGCTCCTACACACACCCTCGTGCGTCCTGCCGCACTTGCCACAGCAGCTACGGTCCTGATGACCTCTCGATCTAGAATCTGATGTCTTTGGCTTTTTAACATGACCCACTAATGCATGTGCCTGCTCAGGATTCTGCTTAGTGCGGGATTCCAACTCTATCTCCCACTCACAGGCCTTCTCCACCATCTCATTCAGGTTTTTGCGCCCTGTAAATCTCACAAATTCCCAGATATCATCCCTCATCATGGTGTGATATCTCGTCCACCTCATATCTTCATATGTAGCATATTGTGGGATCAACAAAGCTCGCTCCCGGAACTTGGCGGTGATCTCCGCCATAGTCTCTGTGGTCTGTTGGATTTCCTGGAACTCTCTCACCATCCTCTGCACCTCAATGGCTGGTGCAAACTCTAAGTCAGATCATTGTCCTTAATACATCACATCACAACATCACCCATCTTCACCGTGCCATTCTATTCTTTAAAAGATTAGAAAAACATCATGATTATAGGTCATATGGTGATATGCACCCAAGTCCAAGATCCAAGCATTTGTAGAACCAGTCTTACATATAGCTAAATTTTCATATATGTCTTCTTCATCTGAAAATCTTTTGAACCATAACATTACATTTATTACTTCTTGACTCAACTTTGAAATTATCCTTCTTTTGCAATGGAGATCTCTTTTATAGTGACCCTTTTTCTTGTAGTTATAACACTAATCTTAGCATAAGATTTAGACTTAGAATGTGGCTTCCCCCTGTTTCCAGCATCTCTTTGCCAACAAATAAAATTGAATTGAAACATTCTTCATTACCAAAACCCATACACTTTAGTTCCTTGGAAACCAAGGAATCCTTCATGTCATTGACAATAATCGTTGTTCTACCATACAACACGGTATCAATGAGACTCTCATTAGAATTCGATAGAGAGAACAACGAAGTAGTAGCTCGATCCTCATTTCAATTTTAACTTATTCACCTTGTAGGTCAATTCTAATACGATTAAAATTATCTAGATGATCATTACGTTATTTTTATCATCGGAAGGGTATACAAACCTTCCATCTCATATAACCAATTCATGAGATAATTGTTCTGATATTAATCAAAGAGTTTCTCCCAAAGACTAGAAGTTTTTGTTTGTTCGTCAACCTCCTATAACACAACATTAGTTACTCATAAACAGAATAGCGATATGGGCTTTTTCCAGAACACCCACCATGTCTTGTAGTAATTTTACTTCTCCTTTTAAAGCCATTGCACGACCCTATTGAACAATAAGAGCTCTCGTTTCACCTTCCATAACATAATGTCTTTCGCGCCATGGAATTTCTTCAACTTAAATTTGTAAGACAACATCTCTCTAATTGACAAAGCAAAATGTAACTCTCATACCACTTGTCAGGAATAAACGAGAATAATCTCACACATAAAGACACAATGTTTGCGTGGTTTGGTCATTCTGACCTACATACATAGGCAAAATGGAGTATTATTATTCACAAGTTTAAATACGAATATGATTCGGTGCAATTCAAATCCTACTTAAAACCGAAATGGGCCTCAATTCCATTAGTTGATCGACAACCAAGCTAATGGATGGTTAGCTAGTGGTCTTCAATTCTCAAGTAACATTTAACACTACTTACAAAACATCGAATAGAGTAAACAATGAAATGTGATAATATCTAACAACCTAAATGATAAATTATTGTAGATCGAACTTATACACGACCTGTACTTGATTGGCCAGCAAGGAAACGAATTGCATTGGGATCCGCAAAGGGACTTGCTTATTTGCATGATCATTGTGACATTAAGATAATCCATCGTGATGTGAAAGCTGCAAACATATTGTTGGATGAGGAGTTTGAAGCGGTTGTAGGAGACTTTGGGTTGGTTAAACTCATGGACTGCAATGATACTCATGTAACAACAGGTATTCGTGGTACGATCGGACATATAGCCCCTGAGTATCTAGCCATGGGGAGATCTTCAGAAAGAACTGATGTTTTTGGGTATGGTGTGATGCTTCTAGAACTAATCACTGGGCGACCAGCCTTTGACCTTGCTCGGCTTGCCAATTATGACGAAGAGGTCATGTTGCTTGATTGGGTAAGCATCCTTGAGTTGAATGATTTCACCAAATAATTTCAACATAAATGTAAAATAGGATTTCTAAAATCATCATAAAATACATATAAATGTCATTCATTAAACATGAAACCTTACTTGATTTTGTTTCATTAGAAGACGCCACGAGAATAGACGATTAAGGAGGATTTAACAATTCTAAGTATGTCCCCTTTGTGATGGTGTTGTTTTTTACACATCCTTAGTCTCAAAGATAATAAATGAGAGTTTTGTAATTAGGAACAAAAAATTAAAGCACATTAGAAATCGCGTTAACCATCTTTTAATTTATTTAGAGGGACTAGAATGGCTTATCGAGATTCTGTAGGGACTGTTTGGTAATAATTAAAAAGTAAGTAAAGCCACAATTATTAAAGAGATTCACTGATAGACAAATATTTCCATATACTGTAAAAAGTTTAGTCACATAATTAATGATAAAATTTCATTCTCCCATTTGGTTGTATGTCTATCATATTAAATTTTATTAAGTTGGACAAGTCGAAAGATATGCCGAAAACAATCGCAGTTGATGATGTGATGGAAAAAGGACGCCTAACTAGGAAATGTAAAGATAGTGTGATGAAAGACCTGAAGTAGCTGTTTTAAAGTTAGTTTTATGCTAGTATATGGTTTTTCTCCTTAGTTTCATACTATTATTTATTTTACATTGTGGTTTAAGATTTCATATTTAGGAGATCATCATTCATACGATATATGCTTGCATTTTCCTTATGTTGGTAGTCAACAATGAAATCGTTCTCTATGTTCAGGTAGAGACTCGATTGTCTAAATCTTACATCACCCTTTATCCCATTTTCTAGAACTTGGGTATTATTCTTGTCATTATTCTTAAGTTAGCTAGGTATTTAGTCCACTTCATCTTCAATAGAATAAACAGAAAACTGTAGCAAAAATTACAATTACACATTAAGTATATGTTCAATACTCAACAAAGCCAAAGAAGTCTCTACTAGTTATGAATATGATATAAAGTTATGGTGATATAAATACAATTACACATTAATTATATGTTCAATACGCAACAAATACGAGTCAAAACTCACAATTTGCGGGTATTATGGGGCCTCATCCAAGTTCAAGGGGCCAAACATCTCAAAATCAACTGCCACAAAATTACCAGAATGCTCAATTTCCATGTGGCATTTTTCTGCCACCAATTTACTATAATTATAGTCCATTTTCGCAACCCAATATTATGTCAGCCGGATCAAGTCTGTCGGCCCAATCAGCGACAGCCCAATAAGCTGGACTGATGAAACAGCAGCGAAGCACTGTTACCCACCAGCAGCCCGCCATGTATTTACAGCCAGCCCACTCCTCAAGCGCAGATCAAGCCCAGCAGCATATTCCCTTCACAGCCCAACAATATTTTTGCTCCAAGTCTAGCAGCAGCCCAGTTCCAGCAGCCCAACACCTACAGATCTGTCTTCAATTTTTCAGGCTATGTCAATTCAACTACCACCAGATAATAATTATTACATGGATACGGGGAGAACTCACACATGAATTTTAATAAAGGTACTATGCACTCTCTTACGCCTTGTAATTCTCTAAATCCATAATAATCGGTAATGGTGCTGTCATTCCAGTATCTCATATTGTAAAGCACTAAAGCTTTTCTTCCTTATTCTCACAATAAGCTCTCTCAAAAATGTTCTTGTTTCAAATCAAATAATTAAAATTTGAGTCTCTGATCGTAAATTTACCATTGATAATTAGGTTTATGTCTCTCTTCACCCGTTTGGTTTTTCTATAAATGATCTCGATTATCGTGCCCTTCTTAAACGATGCGACAGTGTTGGCGATCTATACTCATGCACCCCTTCTGTTACAGTCATAGATTATGTTCTTACTGTGGTTTCTCTTCCCACTACGTTTCGCCTCTTAGGACATCCCGGCTCCTCTATTCTCAAGTTTTTACAGTCGCGTCGTTTTATCTTCCATTTGGCTTCGCTGCTACAGTCAATTTGGAAAACATTTTCGTTTATGTTTTTCGTCATCTTTAACAAAAACTACTAATGTGTTTGAACTTATTCACTATCATTTATGGACATATCATGTTACTAGTTTTGATGGTTTTAAATAATATATTTTTTTTATTGATGATGTTTCTCATTTTTTGTGGGGTTTTCCTCTACGTGCTAAATGTAGTCTATATTGTTTTTTGTAATTTTAGAATGTATGTCAAAAACCAATTTAAAACTAACATCCAATCGTTTCAGTGTGATAACGGATGCAAATTTAATAACCGTCTCTTACTCACGTATCTCCAATCTAATGGTATTACTATTCGCTTCTCATATCCATACACGTCTCAGCAAAATAGGAAATCTGAACGATCTATTCGCATTATTAACAATATTGTACATATTTTCTTGTTTGAGGCGTCTCTAGCTCCCTTCTTCTAGTCTGAGGCGCTTCTCACTGCTGTCCACACTCTTAATCTTCTCCACACCACCACCTTATCCTTTAAAACTCCTTTTGAGGTTCTTTTTGGTTTCTTTCCAAAGTATGACCACCTCCGTCTTTTTGGGTGTTTATGTTATCCTAGCACATCTTCCACTTCTCCTTATAAACTTTCTCCTAGGTCATCTGTTTGTGTTTACCTTGGTCCTACATCGGACCATAAGGGTCATAAGTGTCCTGATCTTGTCACATAACGTGTCATCATATCCCGACATGTTGTCTTTGATGAAGATCACTTTCCATATTGTGATTTTCACCCAGCCCTTTCCGATTCTGACTACGACCAGTTCAATCCTGATGATGATGACCCACCTCCCACTCTTCTGCCCTCGGTTTATCCTCCTATCGAGCCAATGACAACTCCGTCACACTCTTCTCATTCTCCTCCTATCCATCCACCTCCTCCACCCCTCCTCCTCATCATCCCTCTGGTCAGCCTATGAGTACTCGCTCTATAACAGGTTCCCTAAAACCATACACTCTTTTCAATCTCTCCACTACTTCTGAATTTTCATGCATTACTCGCTCCATAGCTCAGGTTATGAGTGATCCGAATTGGAAGGTAGAAATGGATGCGAAAATGTTAGCACTCACTGACAATAACACATGGGATCTTGTTCCTCGTCCTCCCACTGGCAATATTGTTGGTTTTGGATGGCTCTACCAGTATAATTTTGACTCACACGGTTACCTCGATCGCGACAAAGGCAGGTTAGTTTGCTTTCTCTGAACAACTCGCTCTAGATTTTAACGATACATTTAGTCCATTTGTTAAACCCACTACCATCTATACTATTCTTAGTATGGTTGTCTCACGTCACTGACCTATTTATCAGCTTGATGTTAAAAACACCTTCTTTCATGAGGATTTAACAGACGAAGTCTACACGAAACAACACCTGGCTATGTCTATCCCACCTTCCCTGATCATGTTTTCCACCTCGGTAAGGCCATGTATAGTCTTAAACATGCTCCTCGTGCCTGGTATCAACGTTTATGTATTCATCTCCACTCTTGTCTTCACCAGTAGTCGATCAGACAGTTCTCTTTTCATATTTCATCGTGATTCTTAGAGTATCTATCTCTTGTTATATGTTGATGACATCATTTCTATGGCTTCTGGCCCTTCGCTCATTACGAGAGTCATTACACGTCTCTCGTCTAAGTTTGTCATGACGGATCTAGGACCTTTATCTTTTTTTCTTGGCATTGTTGCTACCCTCTCCCCTGACAGTTTGTTTTTCTCACAAACTATGTTTGCCAAGGAGATTTTATCCCGAGCTGATATGACCTCCTGTAATCCGTGTAGCACTCCTATAGACACCAAATTGAAACTCTCCTCATTAGAGAATCCAGTTTTTGATATAACCCTTTATAGAAGTTTAGTTGTGGCTATTTTATATCTAACCATTACTTGTCCAGATATTACTTAGATTCAATAGTTTTGCCTCTTTATGCATGATCCTCGCGAACCACATTTGCTAGCCCTTAAGTGAATCATGCGTTATCTACAGGGTCCTCTTCAACATGGTCTATTCATACGTATGTCTTATGTCGATCGTTTGGTCTCTTCTCCTGATGTCGACTGAGCTAGTTGTCCCTTGACACGTCAGTCCACATCTGGGTTACATGTTTATCTTGGTGATATTCTTGTCTCATGGTCTTCCAAACATCAACACGTCTTCCCTCGGTCTAGTGCCAAAGTTGAGTATCGGGGGGTAGCTAATGTAGTCGTCGAAACTGCTAGACTTCGAAATCTTCTTCTTAAACTTTCGTGCCACTTGACCCACTCTACAATTGTGTTTTGTGATAATGTGAGTTCCACGTACTTAGCTTCTAACCCAGTTCAATACTAGCGAACCAAACATGTGGAAATAGATTTGCATTTTGTCAGGGAATGTTGATAATGTGAGTCCTCGGATCATCAATTTGCATATATTTTCACTAAAGGACTACCTTAACAGTTATTTGTGGATTTTCGGGACAGTTTAAGCATTAGAGAACATCCCGCTCAAACTGAGGGGGAGTATTAATTGTATTGTTTATTTCTATTATTTTTGTTGGTTTTTTGTATGTATAGTTTCTTGAGAATGTTAATGCAAACCCTAAGGGGTATTTTCCGTAATCCCATAGTTGTGTTTCTTGAAACTTTCTCCGTAATATTTTTTTTGTGATATCATGATGTGATAGTCTCTCTCAATTTAAACATCGATAACTTCAATAGGAGGTTGAGGTATTGATGTTATATCATGATTTGGGATTATAATTGACCCACTAGTATGTCGAGTTTCGTTAGATTCCATGTTCTCCACTTTTCATCTCTCATGAACCCTATCTCCCACATTAAAAATTTTGTTCTCAAGAAACTTAGTATGTCTAGTTTCTACAAGTATTATGCATGAATAGGTGAGTAAAACATGTAACCCTTGGATTGGTAGATATAACAAATAAAATAGAAATCGATGGTCTTAAAGTCTAATTTTCTTATTTGAGGATTATAAACTTTGGCTTTTATTGGACATTCTTAAACCTTTAAATACTTTATACTATATTTTCTTATTTTAAAGTCAGTGTAGTTAGTAATCAGACTTCACACCATATCCATAAATGATGTGGTTTCACATTTCCACAACTCCATTTTGTTGAGAGCGAACATACTAAGTTGAGTAACTATACCATGTACCTTAAAACTCTACAAACATTGTGGGAATTTAACCGACTTTAATATGTCATGTATAATATTATCTACTATTATCTGACAACTTTTATCTTACGATCATGATTGTTCTCAAGTTAGACCTTAAAGGTTCTATAAATAATTCGATAACTTTGCCTTGCACTCCAAGGCTTGTCTATTTTCCTTATTATTAGCTTATCATAGTTATCTTATTTAGTTTCCTTATAGGTTGCTACTTTCTTAATTGTTTGATCCTTCCATTTGTATGTATACCCTTTGATCACTTGAATGAATTCAAGCTTTTGCAAACATCAAAATCTTTATGGCATCAAAGTGGATCTAGATTGCTCTATCTCAAACTTTAAAGTAATTATGTTTGAAGATGATGAAATGCCGCCACCAAATAATGATGGAAACACCATCGATACAAACTCCCCATATTACAATTATGAATCTAACTACACTAGATAGATGCAAGTCAACGATGTGCTCACTGACTGGTCACAAGAGATTTTGAATTTGTTTGCCAAAAACAAAGCAGGCTTCATCAATACTGGAACTCTCCAGAAGGCAGAAGAATCCTCACCAAACTATATGACATCGATGTAGTGCGATGTTATGGTGAAGGCTTTGTTCACCACAACGATGGAGAAAGCGATTAGAAGTAGCGTAATGTACGTTAACAACGAATCTGGGATATGGTTTGAGCTCAAAGAAATATTTGGCAAAGAAAGTTCACCAAGGGAGTATGAAATCAAACAATCTCTCACAGTCACAAACGAAGAAGGAGCCTTCGTATCAGCATACTACACAAAATTACGAAGCATATGGGACGAAATTCAATTTGTTTCTCCACGCCACGATGTTCTTGTGGGAACTGCACACTAGGTTATCTTTTCTAGTTAGTTCAATAAAACTAGTAGTTTTTTTTGAGTTAATACATTTTCATATTTGGGGAAAATATCATACACCTTCACTTTCAGGGTCTAACTATTTTTAAAAATATAATAAACGATTTCAGTAGAGTCGTTTGGGTTTTTCTTCTTAGACACAAATCTGAAGGAAGCAATTGTATAGTTAATTTTTACAAAATGGTCAAAAATCCCAATTTAAAAAAGTATAAAAAGGACTAGATGTGAAAATGGAAGGAGTTCACCTCTAATATCATGACTAGGTTTTACATTTAGCAAGAAATTCTCTTGGAAACTACATGCCCACATATGCCTTAACAAAATGGGGATGT